TAGGCCAAGGCAGCAGAGCTGGAAGGATAGCTTATTTGATATTTTGGAGACTTTTTCCAGTTCTGGTACTTTGCTGAATTTTTACTTTAGTGGGTAGCCCTGTAAGAATGCTTCATACAGTGGATAAAAATGTATCACTATGTAAGGCTGTGTTCCAAATCTCATTTTAAGAATAATATTGTGCTGACATTTCCATATACATGATGCATAAAACACAAACCGAAGTCACACCAAAAATAACAATTACAATTTATAGTGCACTGATCAAAATGTTTCTACTGTTACAAATATGTAAATCAAGATATAAAGGATATTTGTTTAATAAAAATATATATAATTTGGGGAATATTTGTTTTTATGTTTGGTTATTTATTTGTTGTGTGACCTAAATTGTTTTGCTTGCAACCACTTCTTCACAATTTACTGTAACACGTTGAAATGATTACAGTGCTCGTGTTTTGTTTGGACACTACTACGTTGTTTATTTTGGTTATTTGTAAAATCAGTTGTTAACATTCTATAACAAAAGCGTGAAATGTGAACACAGCGTCACCTTCTAAAGAGAGATGGTTTCGTTTCATTTTGTCTTTTTTCTCTAGTTTTGTTTAAAGAATCCTAGTATACAAAATGCCAAAGAAAGAACCAGAAATAGAGAACATACAATAATGAGGAAGTAACATCCGTCCAGTACGATTAAGCAGCTTTAATGTGAATTTGTCAATGCAACATGTGTCAATTCAAGCACATTCTGCTTCAATAAATCATAGAGAAAAATACAAAAAGAGGAAAAGAAAGAGTTCACGAAGAGTGATGAAAGGAAGGATAGAAAAAAAAGTTGTAAGAAAGGGGATGTCAAGCTTCTCTTATAGATAAAGGAGTGAGCAACTTTTTATAAACAGGAAGAAGCTCATTGCAAAACACCCAATGGCAGTTGAAAACGTTAATCATCTAGAAAATATGTAGGTAGAAAGGGAAGAAATTGATCAGTTATCTTGATCCGTGACCTGGATTGTTGTCCCAATGACTCAAACTTTGATTCATAGAATTGATATCACAAAAGAACATCTTTGGCCATCAGCCAATTTCATAAGCATTTGGTTTCTCAATTGTGCATGTTTCCTGAATGCCCGTTCTCGGACATGCGGGGAGCTAGTATCTCTCAAATGAGTTTTTATCAATGATTTAGTGGTCATAATTACATGTCTTAGCAAATATATTTCTATGAGGATAAGGACATTGGAAGTAGCTGAAATAATATCAGCTCAGTAGTCAGATGGACAGTATCAATGAATATCAAGACTATTATTTTGTCCACATGACCCAACAGACCCTGGTTAGTTTTCATTTAAGTGAAAGATGTAATCGTGTCTAACTTATCATATCATACCATATCAGAGTATTGTCCAGTAAAGTTCACGTCATGACAAACATAAAGTGAATAAAATGTAATCTATATGTAATCTATATGTTGTGCTAACCAAATTACCAGCAAATGTATAGTTGAACAAATATTTAGCATTCTTTTTTTCCCCTTTCCTTTCTTATATTATGCTGTTTTCATGTTGTTTGAACATCTTCAGCTTTGGGGTCAGTGAGCCAAGTGAAAAAGTGCACCCCACAACCCATACCTGTCATCATTTGGGTTTGGAGGGACTTGGGTTTGGCCACTCCATCCATTAGTGCCACCTAGGTGTGGAGGAAGTGATTTTCATGTAAGTATATTTTTACATAATTGTTGGATATTTTATCAGTAGAATAGAATTATATCTACCTGAAAATGAACTTGGTATCCCTACCATCTGTGCATGACAGGTTCACTTTTAGCAAACTTAAATCACTGGCGCATAATGGGTAAAGTTAGTAAGCCAGAAATCTGCTTCTTATGTTGAATTTACTAGTTCATTTATTGCCAACATATGGTATGGCAGCTCTTTGGGCTACTTGATGCTGACACATCTCTTTGTGTGACCATGGAAAGTGTTGTCCAAAAGATGTGCAATGTCAATTGTTCACCATCACTATCGTTCTAGAACCTGATGCTTGGTTACAGTCTAAGCCTGGCAGGCATTACTTGCCCTGAGGGATTTACTCATTACTAGACTTCTCATTGAAGCTATTCTCATGGGCACACAATTACCTAGAGACTGAATTTGCAGATACATTGAATTTTAAAAACAGGGCAGGTACTGTAGGTCGTAAACATTCTAATTAGGCAGCAAACACAAGAGATAAATGAGCTGTTTACTGAATTAAAATCTATAATCAAACACAATTTATTGTCTCACTTCTGTTCGTTTATCGGGATGCAAATACCACTGCTGTGATTTTTATGTTAAATTGTAATTCAGATTTCTCTGTGAGAATCAACTCAAGCAGTAAAAGTAATCAGTTCTTCCGTATCTAAACTATTATGTAGAATGAAAATCAGCTTAAGAATGAAACATATATTTTACTAAAAAGCATGTTCCTGCATGATCCTTATAAGTTCCATATTTAAAGTAGTCATTAATATAATAATGGCAAAAACTTAGCAACCCATTCCTTCATTGCAAAACTGGTTCTGATACCAACTGATGAATATATAACTAAATAAATTCAGGATAACACATGTATTATACTCTTCATTGCCCTGGGAAAAGCACTACTGCCTTAATTAATATGTATAATTATAAATATACTGTGGGAAGTTACCTGTTGCCTGGTAAATATTTGGACCCTTATCCCTCTGTGCCATCATAATGCCCCTCTTTTGTAGGAGTTCAGTAATCTTGGTGTGTCTGGATTCATACCAGGGCTCCACAGAAATAATACTCTTAGTAAGGTGTCTTTAAACTACAATAAATGTGTTTAGCAATCAGTCTGGGTAATAAGACACCTTGTTCTTATTCCAATTACATTTAGTTGCATAAATTGTTTTTATTAAGTCGCATACTTTGTTTAGAACAGCCCCAGTTACATCCCATGGGACAAATGTTGAAAATTTTCCATTACTGCAAGTTTGATCCTGCTGAACAAATACAAGCAATTAAACACTGGTAGTAATTCACATTGAACTGGGAATTGTTTGGAATTAATCAGGGAATTGAAAATGTAAGGCAAAATAAACTGGGCTGGAAATATAACTGAGTTGGAAAGTTATAAAATTAGCATATTAGTGAATAATGCTATTTAATACAGGACTCATGTCAATGTATAGGTGACAGCCATGTCTCCATAGGTATAGTTCCCATGATACTTATCCAGCCATTTGTTATTTAAAAAGCTCAGAAAATCATTTTTCTTTTAGTTCAAAAACAGTTGAAGACAGCTTGTTGGTTAGATTTAGTCATGTGATATGGTGATGTCACAAGAGGAGTATGGCAGCTTTGTGATGTCACCACTTGCAATAAAGTACTCAGGATTCTGTTTCAGGATTTGTAGGACATGTGTGGACATGTTTATAGCCACAGGGAAGAGTTCCAAGTAGAACCCATTTGAAGTAAGTATTTGATGTATTAAAAGTTGTGACTTATAAACCTTGCACTAGAGAAACCTACCCAATACAAAAATAGCAAATGTTAGTAAAGATAGGTGTTAATTAAGTTGAATGGCCAAAGGTTAAGACATCTTTCCATTTACTAATATAGGCCATTAGAAGTATTTCCACAGGCGATACAGGCATTGGAACCAGTGAAGGCCCTGATTATTTTTTTTAAATTCTTTATTTTTGTAGTGCTTAGAATTACAGATACGCTTATTTCGCCACGACAACAGATATAAGCCAATAGAGTAACACAAAAATATTCAGTAACATGGCTAGCATTTACAGCACCTTTTTTTATAAGGTCAGATTTGGTCGGACTGTCTGTAACATGAGTGGCATCCATGCTGGGAACTACATGAAGGAAAAATTGACAGTTTGAGTTATCTTATGAGCTTTCAGAATTTAAACGTGGTTGAGGCCTACGTTGTGCCTCTAGGGCTGAGTAGGTGTGTGAGCATCATTTTAATAATAATAATGCTAGGCACCTTAAGCCGAATATGTGACAGGCGAGCATATCTAGGGAGTTGAGTGGTTAAATAGCATGACGCACAGCGAGGGTTGATTGCCGGCTTTCTCAGTGTGAATGTGTCAGCTAGTCAGCCTGTTGTGTGTGACATTTTCTTAAGTACGTATGACATTCTATCACTGGACATTTATGTGAGGCCTAGAAAATTCAAATAAAAACAATAAGTATAATAATAAGGCAGCGCAGTCATGCAACTCAGAGTCAATCAACAGTGGGCCAATGTAAATTTGAGATGTGAAGAAAGAAAAAAAGAAATGATAAAAGAAGCCCAGGCTCTGCTCTGCTTGGTGCTTGGTAATGCCAGGCTCAGTCAACCGATGCCGCTTAGCGGTCTTTTGCCGGGTTCCAGCTGCTCTGCTATCCTGCTATGGTGTTTCCAGACGCCGATTAGGAAGGGTGTGTTGTTACCAGTTTGAGTCCCAGGTTTGAGGCTGTGCTGTTTTGTGGTCAGGGACCCGACTCTCCATGGCTTGCAAGGTTTGATGCAGGGCTGAGGTTTGTCCTTTGGCAGTTCCCACCTCCGTGCTGCTGATGGCTTCGTTGGGCTCTGTTGCTTGCGTGCTGGTAGAGCTTTCGCCATGGGTGCGTGCTGCTGTGCCTTCTGGAGCTTGCGTGGGGTAGTGTAGAGGTTGGCGGTCGGCCAGGAGCTAACCAGTGGTGCCTTCTCGCTCCGGGCCTGTAGCAGGGCCGGCATCTTGTAGCCACGGACTCGGGGACTATTGAAGGCCGAGTCCTTCCCTTTCGGGGTAGGTCTGGAGATCCTGGGGTTGGTGGTATGCCGCCGTCGGCGGATGGGTCTCTGCCTACGTGGTCGATGCTCCGGGGTTAATCCCATGTTGGCCCTCGGCCCAGATAGGCTGGTGTGGAGATTCTTGGACTTTGTTTTCATGGCTTTGCCCAAAGTCAGTCTGGTCCCACTCCAAACGGTGTCGCCTTGTTGGCCCTCCGTACCTCCAATGTCTAGCAGCTTGGATCGCTCTTCCTTATGTCGGGCCGCGATCTTTGCCCAGAAGGCCTCAAACAGCCCGTCTAGGCGGGTAGTGAGGGAGTCGTTTGTGTTGGGGCTTTGTGGTGGAGGCCCAGATTGTCCACGAGGCTGCGTATCTGCCATTTTGATATGGTGGGCTGCTTGCAAGTTCGGTGCGTGGATGGGGTCGGTGTACGCTTTTAGGGTTCACTGGGGCTTGCCTGTCGAGGTGATTGGGACCGGGATAACCCCCACCGGTCCTAAGGGGGGGGTAGCCATTTGCTGCAGGTGCTTCATGCGGTTATGGGCTGGGAGAGCGGCCGCCTCTCCATTGCCCTGCTTAGTATAGGCCCCAGGCCTCAGCTTGGTCATTCCGGCGTTATTTCTGGGCATGTGAAGTATCCCTCTGTTCACCAGTGTCTGCAGAGCAAGTTGTGGTGAATTGGGAATCAGGGTTATTTAGTTTGCCCCCGATTTTAGCCAGTAATTGGCCTTAGGCCCAGGAGCTCTTGGTTTGTGCGTCTGCACTGCTTCACAGTCAGGCCACGCCCCCCAAGGCCCTGATTATTCATGATGACTTATGCTAAAGAGGGTCTGCAGGCCTTGTGACTGTGCACTCTGTATATGGGATATACATAGATACCTGTAGAGAATTTGTAATATCAGGCCATGGGTTGGGTGCAGAGAGACACACAGACTTGCCCTATACTTTTAGAATGAAAGAATTCATGTTGGGACCTTGAGTAAAAGTGACTGGACGAGGCCTCACAATTCAGAAACTATGTAGAATTACTTCCTATCAAGCTAGAGCTGTATCTATTTAGGAAAAATTCAGATGAAATATGATTCAGACTTAATTAACTAATTTCAAGTGATAGTAAATTACCAGATTTTACTATTAGCATGACATAAAGTCATGATTTTATTAATGACACGGAGGTGAGTGTTATGCATTCTCTTTCTTTATTTACTCCCAGCAGCAAGAAAGGAAGTATGAGAGAATCATAGAAAAAAACATAACAATAGCATAGTAACACTGGCACCAATCAGGATCCAGTTCTGTCCATATGGGTGTGGTGCTCCTTGACTCCTCTTCTTTCTGTGTAGATCCCGAAGACCATTATTGTAGGGTCCAAAGTATTCCAACAAAAAACTCAAACTCCCAAAACAAACACATATCCGGAAATCCAACTACGAACAACTTCAATCACCAACTCTTGAAGGTGTATTCAAACTAAAAGAGAAGAAAATATATGGTAATATATTAAAGCTTGCGATTGTTAGGCCACTACCATCAAACTCGTCAACCATGTTAGTCAATCGATATAAGTATCATATAAGTTATATTTATCGGATACATTACCCACCTGTGTGCCATGTATGACATTTGTACCTATCATGTCGTGTCATCCTAAAGTCCCAATGAATGACCCGTAAATTAACCACCAACATGGGTAGGGTGGGTCGGAATAATACGTGCCTCTGTGTCATTAATAAAATCATGACTTTACGTCATGTTAATAGTAAAATCTGGTAATTTTATTAAAGACACGGAGGCTCCTATTATGCTATTTTAAAGCTGAGCAACCACCAAATTGGAAATATGTTGCACCAGGTGAAAATAGAAATTACGAAACGTAGATTCATTCGACCAATCAGCAGCTCGTAGGATGTCTTCCAATCTACAACCTATCGTGGAAGCCTTAGAAGCCATAGCCCCACGAATTAAGTGGGAAGAAAAAAATCAAAGTTTCTATGCTTGCAACGGACAATAACCACTTGATCCAACGAGCTAAAGTAGGAGTAGATAATGATAGAAGTGGCACTCGAAAGGAGATGAATAATGGATGGAGTTGATTTGAACGGAGCCAGATCGTACGGCCCTCGTATTCCTTAAGACATAATACTTGGCACAGGTTTGGGTTATCTGGAAACAACAGATTAAACAAACCTCCTTAGTCGAGGATTTCGTCCTACATGAAACAGTAAAGGATACTCTGTTTGAAACAAAAATGCGTGCTTGCCAGTCCAACAAAAACGCGTGCTTGCCAGTCCAAGAGAAAGTTTGTGATTCAAGGGCTAAGACTTGAGAAAATGAAAAATCACATAAACATCCCAAAAGGAAGAATATCGAGGCTGAGGGGATCGAGAAAAACGGATGCCTTTGAGCAAACAGGGGGCATGTCTAGTAAACAGTCAGCAGCATGTGGCTGCTCACTGTAAAAAAAAACTTTAAAAACAAAATATTCCCCATACCCGGCCCCTACCCCTGAACGGCGGGTGGGGGCCTGAAAGTAGAATAAAGGGGGGGCGGACCTATTGTCCTGCCCCCACCCATGAACGGCGGGTGGGGCCCTAAGTTAGAATAAGGGGGGGACCTATTGTCCTCCCCCCTGGCCCCCACACCTGAGCGGTGGGTGGGGGCCCTAAATATCAATAAGAGGGCGGACCTATTGTCCTCCCCCCTGGTCCCTACCCATGAGCAGCAGGTGGGGCCCTAAATATCAATAAGAGGGGCAACCTAATGTCCTCCCCCCTGGCCCCCACCCCTGAGCAGCGGGTGGGGGCCCTAAATATCAATAATGGGGGGGACCTATTGTCCTCTCCCCCGGCCCTCACCCCTGAGCGGTGGGTGGGGGCCCTAAATATCAATAAAAGGGGGGACCAGATGTCCTCTCCCCTTGCCCCCACCCCTGATCGGCGGGTGGCGGCCCTAAATATCAATAAGGGGGGGACCTATTGTCCTCCCACCTGGCCCCCACCCCTGAGCGGCGGGTGGGGGCCTAAATTTAGAATAAGGGGGGGACCTATTGTCCTCCCCCTGGCCCACACCCCTGGGCAGTGGGTGAGGGCCCTAAATAAAAATTAACCCCCCTCCCCCAAAAAATAACCCCTACCTACCCCCCTCATACTAAAAATAATGAGGGGGGACCATTATCTAGATACCTATAAAAAAAACAAAAAACTTACCATTTGATGTCTTCTTTCTTCTAAACTCTTCTTTTTTCAGCCCCAAAAAAGGCCAAATAAAAATACATAATAACCGACGCACTTTAAAAAAAAAAAAAGAGCGCAAAAAATAAAAAATCCATCTTCACCCATGGAAGGCTCCGTGCAGACTGAGCTCTGCAGGGCAGGGGAAGGCTTATAAAGCCTTGCCCCGCTCTGCAATTAGGCTCAGAGCACTCTGATTGGTGGGTTTAAGCCATCCAATCAGAGTGCTCTGACAGGTAAATGAAGAGACAACACTCTGATTGGTGGATTGAAAGTAACCAATGGTAAAATGGTAAGTTTATTTTTTATTTTTTTTTACAGGTATCTAGATAATGGTACTCCCTCATTATTTTTAGGATGAGGGGGGTAGGTAAGGGTTATTGGTAATTTTTTTGGGTGGGGTGACTAGGGGCTCCCTAGTCACCTGGGGGGGTACATTTTTATTTAGGGCCCCCACCCGCTGCTCAGGGGTGGGGACCAGGGGAAGGACAATAGGCCCCCCTTATTCTAACTTAGGGCCCCCACCCACCGCTCAGGGGTGGGGACCGGGAAGAGGACAATAGGTCCCCCCTTATTCTAATTTAGGGCCCCCACCCACCGCTCAGGGGTCGGGGGGAGGACAATAGGTCCCCCCTATTGATATTTAGGGCCCCCATCCACCACTCACGGGTGGGGGCCAGGGGGGAGGACAATAGGACCCCCCATTATTCTAACTTAGGGCCCCCTACCTACCGCTCAGGGGTGGGGGCCAGGGGAAGGACAATAGGTCCCCCCCATTATTCTAACTTAGGGCCCCCACCCACCGCTCAGGGGTGGGGGCCAGGGGAAGGACAATAGGTCCCCCCATTATTCTAACTTAGGGCCCCCACCCACCGCTCAGGGGTGTGGGCCAGGGGGAAGGACAATAGGTCCCCTCCATTATTCTAACTTAGGGCCCACACCCACCGCTCAGGGGTGTGGGCCAGGGGGGAGGACAATAGGTCCCCCCCTTATTCTAATTTAGGACCCCCTCCCACCTCTCAGGGGTGGGGGCCAGGGGGGAGGACAATAGGTTCCCCCCCTTATTTGTATTCAGGGCCCCCACCCGCCGCTTAGGGGTGGGGCCCGGGGGAGGACAATAGGCTCCCACTAATTTTAACTTAGAGCCCCCACCTGCCGCTCCTGGGTGGGGGCCGGGGGGAGGAAAATAGGTCCCCCCCTTATTGATATTTAGGGCACCCACCCACCGCTCTGGGGTGGGGACCGGGGGGGAGGACAATAGGTCCCCCCCCTTATTCTTCTTTAGGGCCCCCACCCACCGCTCAGGGGTGGGGGCCTGGGGGAGGACAATAGGCCCACCCCCTATTTTACTTTAGGGCCAGGGGAGATGGTTTTTTTTTAGTTTTTTTTTAACTGTTTAATAGACATGATACTGCGAGTAGGGGAAAATACTAAGTCATTTTTACTTAATATTAGTGAATTTGGCTGAAAGACCAATTTAGGTCTTTCATCCTTTTGGTAGATAACTCCCTAATACCGTGGGAATTAGGGAGTTATCTACTAAGCGGCTGCAAGCAAAGTCCGAAGTGCCGAAGTCCCAAAATTCCAAAATGCCGAAGTTCAGAAGTGCCGAAATTCCGAAGTTGCCGAAGTTCCGAATTGTGAAATGTCGAAATGCTGAAGTGCAGAACCGAACCAAAGTGCCGAAGTCCCGACTTCCCGAAGTCCTGAATGGCTGAAGTCCCGAATTTCGGAATGCCGAACCTAACCAAATTTTTTCCCCATGCACATTCCTATAAAACAGTGTCTTTATACTTTTTTTTTTTTTTATATATATAAATCTTTATTTTCAATTTTTCTTTTTAAAATTCATTCAGATACAGATACAGCTTTCAACTGTAGTTTTAACACTGTAAAAAGTTACTTAACAGTAAAATAGTACATATGAATAACAGTAAAACCGTGCTTCAAATATACATCTACCAGTTTTCTGCTGTGTCAACAGCCGTACAAACATACCATACATACAGTTCATCTTATCCATATCACATTTTCACTACTACCTATTGGCTATCTATAGGGGGGCAGGGGGGTTTGAGTTTTTATAATTAATATATCTAACCCAGGGGACCCAAACTTCATTATACTTTTCTCTAGATATCTTGTTTAAG